GCAACTGCGACAGGTGAGGAAGGCCAGGAGAGCTCCTGAGCATCCAGTACTGGCGGACGCCACGCCTCGTGGTTGGCGAGAACCCCGGTACTTGGGCCAGGCCGTCTGTTTCGGATCCCCTGAGCCATCGAGGAAAACCCTCTAACTCGGGTGGAGACTTGGGTTTGAGGAGTACTTCCTGCTGGTACCAACGAGCTGGGGGACAGCCTGGTGGTTCCAGGGGCTCTTAAGCAGCCTGCGTCTCAAGGTGGGCCTGCCCACCACGGGACCTGGCAGCGGGACAGTCGCCTGAGGCCTTGGTGGTGGGAATCCGGCGGCAGTGCGTGCCCCAGGGGAGCAGGTTGAGACTGGATGTGAGGGAGAGGGTTCATGGAATTCAGAAGCCAGATGGGGAGCAGCAGCCAAAGGCTTCCATTCTGAAGCTGAACTAACTGCAGACCCTCCTCTCTCCCTGGGGCGAGGACGCGGACACCATGTCATTACCACGGCTTCCTGGTTGCTGTTCTCAGTGTTCTCGGGAGCATTAGTGCTAAAAGGGAACAGGGAATGGGAGATCTGCCATTTTCAGTCACATAAAGGACAGAAATCCTTTTAATTATGACCATGCCAATCTAGATCTCGCTAAAACAGCTAATTACATGTCAGGAGGACACTCAGTCATTCAGAACAATTGTCATTATATTTTTATATATTCATTCTCTGCCACCCCCCTTGATCACCATGGTTACAATTTGAAAGGACTGAGGCGAACCTTCCTTTGCTCACAGCACACCAGTGTGCACTGGAGAGTTAATTACGGCTGTGTAGAGCCACTTTTATTTAAAAGTGAGAAAAAACGAGAGTGGAGTCAAGGGAGCCGGCACCCCAAGGAGCCTGGTGGGTGAGTCGTGAGTGCTGCCCGTCAGCCCAGCGCCAGGCCCAGCCCCGGGCGCGACACACGCCGCTCAGACTTGGGCCAAGCAGAAGGGGTGTCAGGGCAGGCAGGCGCCGAGGGGGTCCTGCTGCTTGCTGTTGGGGGGCTGGCCAAGGAGCAGGTGGGTGTGAGGCGTGAGGGGTGAACGGTCACACTCAGGTTTGAACGGAACCCAGTGGATTTCATTTTGCTCAAATGTCACAGGAAAAGGGTTGAACAGTCGCCCAGGGCCGCGCACCCCTGTCCTCCCAGGCGCCCCTCCCGCCCCGCCGCCCCGGCTGACGGCAGAGGGCGGGACGTCAGGCCCTCGGGCGCCCCGCGCGCCTCCCCTGCTTCCCGCCCGGCTTTTCTCTCCTCCCGACAAGCGGGAACCGGAGCGACGGAATCTGATTACTCCGACCACTCACTGTGCTCTCGCCGCTGTTCCTCACCCCCAAGAAGGACGGGGGACCCCGCGCGGAACCCGCCCAGTTTCCCCCGCGTCCAGCCGGGCGCAGGGCGAGCGGCGCCTCAGGCCAGGGGGTCCCGGCGCGGCGCCTCGCGCTCCAAGCCAGGCGGACGCCGCGGCCTTTCCACACGGGTCGACAGGGCCGCGCCGGGCGAGGGGCGCTGAGCCCCGACGGGCCCAGACGACCTGTCCCGCCTCCCGCGGCGGCCCCAAAAGACGCGCCGAAAGCCCCGCGCGAGCGAGTCGTCCTGGGAGGCAGCGAGCGGCTGCGGGGAGGCCCCGGGCCGGGCCGTTCACAGTTGCCTCCTGGGGCAGCAGCCCCGGCCGGCGGCCTTGGGTTCCCCGGGCCGGGAGGCGGCGGGAGGTCGGGGCGGCGTTTCCGGGCAGGCGGCTGCGTCTGCGCTCAGTGCGGCCGCGGCCGCCGGTCCTGAGTGAAGAGCCGCGCGGCGGGGCGCACGCGGGGGCCGGTCCGCCCGGCACGACGCCCCCACCCGCGGGGCGCCAGCAGGGGCCGCCCTCGGCGCGCCCGGCCCGGCCTCCGCCTGGGGATCCCGGCAGACCCGGCTCAGGAAAGCGGCCGCGGCCGCTGGTCCCGAGGGCCCCGCGGCGGGCCTGGGCGCGAGGACGGCGCGGACCCCGGGGCGCGTTATTGCGGAAGAATCGCAGGGGCGCGCGGGGAGCCCCTCACGGTCTCTGCACGGAGCAGACACACCGCGGAGGACGAGGACGGCGCGCGGGAAGACGGCTGCGCCCGCCCTCCCCGAGCCGCCGGGCCGAGGACTCGGGGTTCACATTCTCAGGACGGGCCGCGCGGCGCCGCGACGGGAAGGGGACGGGAAGGGAGGACCCCCGGGCGCGGGCAGCGACGGGCTGCGCGGGACGCGGGGTCCAGGCGAGGGGCGCCCGGGCAGAGACGGTCCCAGCAAGGGCGTCGCGCGAGCGCGCAGGCCCGGCCGCGCGGTGACGGGGCTTCCGCCGGCTGCAACCCGAAGGGCCACGCCGGAGGCGCGCGCCCACCGGAGGGCTGCCCCCCGCGGCAGGGGCCCCTCAGGGCTGCTCCCTTTGAGGCAAAACTTCAGGGGGAAGGGAACCCCACCCGGCACCCGCTAGAGGAGAGGGTCACGCCTGTCCGGGACCGCGCGGCCAGGCCTCAGGGAAGGGTGAGAGCGCCGCCCCCCTGCCTTCGGCTGATGGGGGGGTGCCCACGGCAAGGTGCCCCTGAAGGCCGGGTTTTGGGAGAGCTGTTGACCCGCACGACCTCAGAACTCAGTGGAACTCTCTGTGACAGGAAAAGCACAAGAGCTGCCGGCAAGGTTCTCCCACCCCTGCTGTTACTCTTCCTCACCTAGGAAGGTGCAGGCCCCAAAATGCACCTAGGAAGGTGCAGGTCCCTTTGGGACCCCCCAAAAGTACAAGAGTGAGAAAAAAGGACAGACCCACCGAAGAACAGAGAATGGGATTTTGTTTTGAAAGAGCCTGGTGTTTCCCTCCCGCAGCAGAGCAGTGGAAGGCTGCTAGTTTAATGCCACCTGACAGAGCTTTAGAAGAAAATCTCCCATCCAAAGACATCACACATGAGACAGTGGTGACTCCAGGTGCCATCCTAGGAGCTAAGGTGGGCTGTGGGATCAAACCTGGTGCCAACGCCGCCCAAAAGAAAAAAAAAAAAAACAAAACAACAGTAGATTTAAATCTAGGCCCCAAAGAAGTAGATTTTTGTTCTTGGTGAAAAAAAGAAAAGCAAGTTACACGTAAGGCAATGGGTCTACGAGCTGGCCAGCAGTCTTCTCTAATCATGAGACTCGGGGTGAAAGACCCCTCCAGCGGGGCCTACTGAACAGAGCCGGCACCGCCCCGCCGGGCAAGCGGGTTCCCTGCTGTCCCGGGTTGCCAGGTGAGGCCTCCGGCTGCCTTCACCGACACTCACTTTGCTCGATTCTCTGCAGCCTTTTTCCTTCCCGAAAGGTCTTAAAACAATGAAACCTCTTAGCTCTGCCCCGGCAATCATTTCTTTAGAAACCGCAGCTGTCTCAATAGTTTGAGTGTTTCTTTAAAGAGACGAGCACGCACAAACGCCACCAGAGTCCCGCGCTGGAGAAGCTATCAATTATAATAATCTCCTTAACAACAGATCATGGGTGTGGCCTGTCACAGTGTATTTTTTCCTCCTTTTCTTTCCCGTTTGACAGAGAAGAAGCAGACAAAATGCCACGGAAAGGCAAAGACACGACTTTCTTCTAAGCAATTTAAAGGAAAGAAAGAGAACACAACCTCCTAACCGAAATAAAAAGTCAGACACACCAAGGAAGAAGGTGAGCAGGGAGGATCATTCCTGAGAATAACAAATGCTCCTCTTGAATTGCTGTTCAAGTAATACGGTAAATCAGAAGAGGCGCCTCCAACCGACTGGAGTCTCGGAAGCTGGAAGAAGTGCGTGTCCCCCGAAACCCACGGACACGAGCAGGCCCCCCGGTCCCACCCACGCTCCTCGGAGCACAGACCCCCTCAGGTGCCCCACCGCCCGCGGCACCTGCGGCGCGCCAGGGGGGCGGCCGTCGCCGGCGGGTGCCCGCCACGCTCGCCGAGGGGGAGGGACAGGAGCCCGGCCGGCAAGTCTCACGCCAGCGGGTTCAGGTTGAGGACACGGGGGCGGTGGGGAGAGGCGGGGTGAGGAGGTGAGGAAACGGCACCTCACTTCTCTCTCGGATGGTTTCGGGTACGGACACACAGACCAGCCCTGCAGCCAGCCAGCCCCGCCTCCCCTGGAAACACGGCTCGGCCGGGCGCGGGGAGCAGGGCCGGCCGCTGGGCGCACCGGGCGCTGCGTGGAGGCGGCGCGTCCCACTCATGTGGCAGCGCCATTCCATGGGGGGCCAAGAGACCACTTTCATACAAGGCCAGCAGATGTCATTTTTTTTGACGCATGAACAGTTCATCATTTTGCTACTAGATGACAAGGTGATCACAGGGCGACTTTATAACGCAAGTTCACTGTTTGGTATTTTTGAGTTCTCAAAATGAAAAAAAGATTTATCAAATATAAATATCTTTAAAAAGTAACAAAAGTGCTACATATGTGATCAAGGAAAAAAATTCCGTTAGTTACTGCCGCTTAAAGTAGATTAAACTTTACAAATATTACCACATCCATTAGCAATATGGCTTCCAATTATTAAATAAATTGCCTGTAGCAATACAGCTTTTCACACCTCCACGAGGACAGAGCAAAGAGAACACCCGAGCAGTGACATCCCAGCGCATCTGCAGGCCCACCGCGGCGGGGGCACGCATCCCCTGCTTTTCTGCTCCTGTTTAGGCAAGTGTTTGCGTCTGTGATAGTCAGCACAATCCCACCACAACGTCCTCTATCAACCGCTCCTAGTGAGGGGCTTCAGCTACTGGACACAGAGACTGGAAGTTCATTCACGCACTTTTGACCTTATCTCCATCCTTGAAAGACTTTTTGGTAGCAGGGGGAGGGGACACAGACAGGAGGCAAAGCCGCTTCTGGGATGACCTCAGCACTTCCCAGGCAGGCGGGGGCCCGAGGCACGCGCGGCCTGAGCCCTGGACTCAGCGTCCGTCAGACATTCAGCCCGTGCTTTCCCCAGAGCTCGCAAGCTGGGTTTTGTTTGTATTATGACTTTTGTTTCTTGTCTTTTGTTTTAATCATGGTCCCAAAGGCAGAAGGCAGTATTTTATGGACTAGGTCACACAGCTCGTGAGAGGAAAGGATGTCTGTGTCAGGCATGTAACATCAACCCACATCTGAGACCGAGCGTTTCCATGGACATTCTCAGCACAGCACCCAAAGAAGTATAATCTAGCCACGGTGTGACTGATAGGAGGCACGGCTTATTGCAGCTGGAACTCAATCCTTCCCGCGCCGAGGTGGGGTCCTAGTGTTCCTTTTACTCTGCGGACACTCCCCAACGGTCTGTCAATCCTGGGCTGCGCTACCTCAGCTTGCATCCTGTCATTCTTGGGGAAGAACAAGGGGTGCCGACTAGTGTTACAGGAATCTACAGGTACCCAAGGTCTACATGTAGCCTAATATTCGAGAATTGAGGGCTATCTAAATACCTGGGAGCACTTTCTTGGAATGCTAAGACAGAGCAGCAAGATTTTCTAGCCTCGGGGGCTGGGAGAGGGAAGTTTGGTTGGTTGGTTATTATTTACTGGGAATTAATACTGAGAGAGTATATGCAAAGGCTGAGGGCACCATGCCATCTTCACAGAACAAGACCCTAACGGCTAACTGACATACAAGAAACTGCAAGTTATACTGTAAGAACACATGTTAAGGACCGAGGAAAGTCTGCTAAGGTGCTACGTCTACACTAAGTTAACTGCTCGTGTTCACCTCCCTGATCAGTCGTCTTCCAGGGCCTCTGTCTTGATTTCGTTGGCTCCTTGTCGGGCCAATGCCAAGATCGTGTGGTTGACGGCCGCCATTTCCACAGCTAATGAGATGGGGTCCTGGTGGTCACTGTGGCTGGTGCTGTCATCCTGGGTGCGCAGAAGGGAGAAACAAGTGTTATCAGTGCACTGGTAAGACTCGCCGGCTCACAGAAAGGCATGCTGGGGGGCAAGGGAGGCAGAGCATCCATGGGAGGAAGCAGTGGGGCGGGGCTGGGGACAGAGTAGAGGTGAAATGTATTTAAGTAGTCACTGAATGGATACAGGCCCAGAGCGTCCCACTTGACATTTCCATGATTCGGCAAGTAAAAGGCATGAAAAATATTTTGGTTTTTTTTGCTGAGACTTTATCCATTCCATCAGAAAAATTGCTGGTGACGATGATCAAACCTGGATTTTTTAAGGTTTGCCACCAAAAAAATCACTGAGGTCTGCAATAGTGCACTATGAAATTCTGGACTGGTCCTTTTACAAAGAGATGATCAGAATTCAAAAGGCTGCTGTCTACCGAGCTCGGAAAACTAGACAAAATTATCAACATCTTACAGATAAAAATTCTTATTTGTGAAAAAATTAAGCAAAGAAAGTACTTTCAATGACAGCATCAACCCAAATCTGGGCTGTGTGACTGGTGGGAGTGGCTCTGGAACAAAGTGGGGCACTCCCCTGCTGTCAGGCGGGAGGGAGGGGCGCAGGTGTCACACCTAGAGGTGTGAGCTCCCCTGCAGGCACAGCTCCAGGTGTCAAACAATAAAGCTGTGAAGGAAGCTGCGTGTGCTGTGTGCACCGCAGGCACCGAGGACGAGGACTACGGTGTTACAAATAAGGGGTAAGCTTCTCACCTGTCACGTCTTCAGGGGAACTCTGCCTCAAAAATCTTAAAAAAAAAAAAAAAGCTTTGGAAAGGGTAAGTCCCTTTGGGGAAAAGCATGGAATGTGCTGCCCTTGGGGCATCGGGGAAAAAAGATGAAATGATCCATCTACATGGGAGACTGAAAAATAACAGGAATGTTTCCAATTAGAAAGACTTACAGAACATTCTCGAGTGAAATGTGGAGCTCTGGCTCGGAATCCTGGGGGAAGCCCAGGGCAGTGCAGGCATCATTGTTTCAATTCTCATTTTTCACAAACTGTCTTTAAAGAGTTTAAGAAGGGACCAGCACGGAGCTGCTGGTGCTCTTGCAGTGACTGCTCGAGCTGTGAACGGGCTGGACAGTGGTTGGAGAGGAACAGAGGGGGCTGCATTTAAGAGCTGTGGGCAAGGAAAAGGTGTGACTCCACAGGCAAAAGTACATGATTTCCTGCTGGAGTCTTTGCTTCATCGTCTAGTGGAAATGAGTTTTAAACATCCTATAAAAATGTTAATGAACTCTATCAAGACGTGGGGCGAGATATTCCCTGTATTCTTAGTTATTCCATCCAGGGACTACAATTAAATATATTTTCCCCCCAAGCAATGAAGAGGCGGCCGGGGTGAGGCGAGAAGACATGCATTTATGAGCGGATGTGTGTGTCGATGTGCCAGAGACGCTGGAGCACCACTGGCCTGGGCACGAGGGTTCCCGCTGCCCCGCGGCCGCAGCGGGCGCCCTCCCTGCGCACTGCATGGAACACGCCGGGCGCAGACCACAGCTACCCCGTAGCCCCTAGTGTTTCTCCAACAGTGTGTGTGTGGTGAATGGTGTAACTTGCTTGTTTGGATCAGATCCTTCTCTCTTCTTCTACCTTCTCTGCTTCTCTGCCTCCCTCTGAACTTCTTCCCTCCTCCTCCTCCCCATTGCGTACTTGCCAAGTATCCTGTTGTATGACAATAAATCCATGCGGGTGAGTAACGATTTCTCACAAATTCAACAGGACAACTGAATCTTACCACATTCCTTTCACATTACATGAAAATCTAACTAGACACATGAGCAGCGTGGAGGGACATTAGATTGCCTCCTCCCCCGCCCAGGACACGCGCCCACAGAAGTGAGCTGTCACACTGTCCCTCCCGCTCAGCCCCACCCCCCCACGGAGGCTCGGCTGCGCACCTGCTCTGAGTAGTCGTTTCCATCGACGTCATCACTGTTGGAGTGGCCTCCTGGACTCTGTACGTCTATCCCATGACTCTCCAGGATTGCTGCTTCTTCGAAAAAAGCAAATCGATCCCTAAATTATCTGTTACATTGTCATAATGGCTGATACACTGAATTAAACAAAAACCTACATTGCTCTGTATTATGTGCCTCATAAATTGCAGCCGGTAAAATTCAACTGCACCCGGGTCGGGGAGTGGCTTCTACTATCCTGGAGCCCCTCCTGCTGTGCTTGCAGTGGGGTGTGGTTGACTGGCACTTCATAAATACTTACCAACTCGCTAAACAGCCCTGCTGTTTGAGGGCTCTAGAAAGTGTGCGGGAATTGGAATGATGAACAGCAAGTATGCTTATAAATGAAATATAATTTCAGAAGCTCAAAACCAAGCCCCTACCCCAATCACTTCAATTCCCATTTCTTAAATGTTTTTTAAAATCTCTGCTTTTTTGTGTTTCCTGTCTACTAAGACCTTGTCATTCCCTTTCTGTTCATCAGCTGTTTCTTAATATCTAAGTCTTAACCCAGTGATAACGAAGCAGCTTAGGACACCACAGCCCTTTGGAGACCTCACGCACAGCTTAACTATGCACCCACAGGAGTATTGGGTCGGGGCACGTTGAATTTTATATTCTAGAGTATTGCGAACAATGAGTTTCAGAAATAATGATGCCATTAATAGTATACAAATAGTTAAATAATACCGTCTTTGGGTTATTAAAATTATACACACGGGTAGCTCTTATTAGGCATGAAAGTCAGGCCCATTTAGACCGACAGTTCCAAACTGAAGTCCTCTCACACTAAGCATGACAGCTAGAAGCACTTCAGAAGAGAAAGCAGCCTCTCTGATACATTACCGATATTGGCTCTCCTCTTGATCTCCTTCCGCCTGTTAGCAAACCAATTATATACTTTCAGGGAGGTTACTCGTTCCAGATCTGACAGTTTTTTGCCTGTGAATGCATGCAATAAAATTCAGATCATCCGTATCTGAGATTAGTTCTAAGGGCTAATACTTTTCTTTCTTTAATATTTATTGCCAGAATAACCGATCTAGGGGGATTATTTTTTTTTAGCATTAACTAACACTGTACACACAAATTATTACCCAATGAATAAACACAGAAATGAATACACAAACAGCAACTAATAACAGAATATGCTTTCATTCAGAAAGTCACACTACTTAATACTGTATGCAATACTGGCGTTCTTTAGGAGTTTTAATACTTCAGCTGGCTACGGTTCAAAGTTCCATGAGGCTTCATTTAATTAGCATCATTCAAGATGAATATATGATTCTTTATCAAGTTTCCAGACAGCTGAAATTTGTATTTTTAAGGTTACTTGTATTTTGAAGGCCTTCTATTAACCCGTGTCCTGCTGCTTAGTGTTTGGACAGCTCTGGTGACTCGCACTGTAAGTCCGCAGGACTGAGGCTGCACTTTATCTCCTTTGCTCTAACCCTCGACCTCTCATGGCCAGCACCAGCCTTGCCAGCAAGGCCCCCTCTGACCCACTCCTACCCTACCCTGTTCTGTGACTGTGTTCCAGCTGTTAATCGGTAGTGGCTGGAGAAGCAGGTGAGGCCTTGACAACAGAGGGTTAAAGTGTTTTCTGGAGAGAGGGCCAGTTCTTCCACAGCTTTAGGACTGGGGCTTTGGCTTGTGTGAAGTCAGGATTTAGATTTTCCACTTATGTGTTATTGGGGTTGAGTTTATAGGTTCAAAATTTTATAATTCTAGCTTCTAGCAAAGGGAGAACAAATTACTATTTGTCACAAAATATTAATGTGTAAGACAGTTACACTGACTGGCCAAATTGGGACTGACTGGATCATCTTAACTGAGAATGGCTGCTGGTAACAAAAACTGTACAATGTTGAATAATATTTCAGCACATGGAAGAAAAGACATGTTTAAACAGCTCTGTTGACTTGCATTAGGAACAACAGGAGTTCAGGTGAAATCACCCTACTTTTCCCTAACTAAGCAGAAGTCATCCCAATGTGGTAAGGGGATAGACATCATCTCCAACAAATTCTTCCCCCAAACAGGAATACAGAACTTACAACAAGTGTATAAAAACAAACAAACAAACAAACAAACAAAAACCCACCTTTAAATCTTTTTATTAACAAGCTTGCTTAAATATTCCAAACTTTAAAATTATTTTGGAATTGATATATTTATGCTACAGTTTTGGACACAGAAATCTGTACAGCCTTTGAAAAAATAATTTCAAGGTCTCTTATCTTAAGCCAGGTCACTCCCTGGAAACTTTCCCTGATGAGTGATTTGCAGACAGCTACTCCCGCTTTAGAACTGGGGAGCACACAGGGCAGTGACTCCCCGTGGGAGTGCGGTACAAAGTGGGTAAAAGGAGGCTGAGTGTCCTAAATACCGGTCTGGAGCTGAGCGCTCCGCCACAGCAAAGTGCCGGCTGCCGCCTTACCTGGCTTCTGTATGACTGCATTGCAAGCGTTTGCAATTTCTTCTCTCTTTGCTTCATCTGGGTATTGATTCTCATTGAAGTAACTGCAGAGACAACCAAAGTTTGCACTTCAAAAAAATGCTCTCCTTAACTTTTGCCCACTGAAAAATATGCAAATAGGATGCAACAGGAGAGCATCTCTGCCAGGCGCCATACTCCCCTGTGGGTGGGGGACTTGAAATGAAGCTGATGTGACTAAGTAGGTGAGTTTTTAATTTGATATGTAATTTTAGTGACCTGAAGTTTAAGTAGCTACACGTGGTGAGTGGCCTCTGTACCCGCAGCACAGCTGCAGCCTCTGCCGTGCGTCATCAGGAGAGGTCCTGGCAGAGTTACCTGTGATGTGGCTGGCTCGCTGCAGGCAGGGGTCTGCCACTGAGGCAATTATAATAATAATAAGACTTATTTGTGTGTCATATTGTTTATAGTAGCAAAAATTGGAAATTACCCAATTGTCCATCAATGGGAGAATAGCAGAACAAATTCTGGGACATCTATATTTACACCCAGCTATTTAAAAATGACTAGGAATGAAAGTTAGAGTCCTACACGCACTGGCCTGGAGGGATGTTTATGACATACTTCTAAATGAGAAAAACAATCTGCAGAATAACGTGCATGTAAAACTACCATAACAGAATTTAAAAAATTCCTGTCTCGGTGTACATACAATTTTATGGATAAAAGCTGGATGAGTCCTTTTCAGGTTGTAAATATTGATTACTTAATTGAATTGTGGGGTCGCGGTTAGGGGCAGGAGAACAAAACATTTTCTTTTTTTGCCTTTTTTCCATGTTAAAAGAGGACACATTACTTCAGGGTGACAGTACTTAGGTATGCTGACTCCATCCTGAGCATCACCAGATCTGTGACACAAAAAACTGTCAATGCAGTTACTTATTAGTGCTGCTTTTTCTGTCATCTGTGAGTTTAAAAAAACAACTTTGATACTGGAAACTTAAGATCAGGAAATGATCCCTCATGAAGTGCTAGCACTTGCTGCTTCTCCTAGCACCTGCCCCTAGAATGCAGCGCTCCCATCCTCCGCTCCTCTCTGCGCTGGGGAAACGGCATCTACTGGGAAGAAACGTTGGCCTCCAGCCTCCCTGTGCAGCCACAGTGGCCCTCTCCACCTGCTCGTGGCGGGCTCCGCCTGCAGTCTGCCCCGCAGCCCGATGGTCGCCAACCTGTCCTTTCCTCCTGGGGATCACAGGACCCCCAGGCTTGCAGAGCCCCACCCTTCCCGAGGCCACCTGCTTCACGTCCCCCCTTCAGCACCTTATCCCACGTGGGCGTCTGCTCCCTTTTCCTAGGGTTCCAGTGTTCAGACTGAGGACTTTTCCAGAACTGCTCCACTTCCACTTTACTATTGGCCTTTCTCTTCCCTCCACTTACTCTTTTCTTCCCTCCACTTCGGCCATTTACTCAGGCAAAGACACTTGAGGTTAGTGTCATGAACCAAGTAACACTGGCATCACCAGGAGCCATTCAAAAGGCAAAATTCCAGGCCCACCACAGACTAAATCAGAATCTGAATTTTAACAAGATCTCTGGATGGTCTGAAAATACATCAGCTTTTGAGAAGCACTGGATTCGTTCACTCATTAAGAATTCAACAACAGGGCCTCCCCGGTGGCGCAGCGGGTTGAGCTTCAGTGCTGTGAAGCTGTCCGCAGCCTCTGCAGCGCGGGTTCAATTCCCGGCCGGCCAGGGAGAAACCCACATGGCGCGATAGACCTCTCCTGTCTCGCCTGCTGCTCCCCTTAGAAGCGTCTTCAGTCTGTCTGCCTGTTCTACTCCCCGTTCTGTCTCTGGTGAATTCTCTCACCTTGCCCCGCCTCTGACCTGTACCCTGGTTCTTGTATAAATAATAAATCTTTAAAAAAAAAAAAAGAATTCAACAACAAAGACAACAAAAACAGACAGGAACTGATGGATGAGTGGCTGAGGAAGAGAACCTGGCAGTTTCTGGCTTCAGGGCACTTATGACCTCCAGCAGGAGTTTAGGGTCTGCTGGAGACACCCACAAGCCTGCGCACCTGTGAAGCGCCCCAGGAGGTGTGCACAGAGACAGGGGTGTGGCTGAGGCTGCACCTCCATGGGAGCTAGATTGCCAAGATGGCAGCAGACTGCCTGGCAGGGGAGAGCACGGGCAATTCACACCAGGGAGTGACAGGCGCAGAGACAGAGGCAGATGAAAGCCTCGAGGATTCTGGGCACAGAGAAGAGTGCAGCATGGTTGGCACATGAGGTTCACAAGAAGATATGAGGAGCTACTAGCCTGGGAAGGCAGGTTGGGGCCAACAGTGGTGAGACTTGTCTGCTTACTAGGCAGCAGCAATGACCTCACCTTCATAGAGGTTGTCAAGCCACAAAAAGAGCACGTCTTCGATCACCTCCGTGATCTCAAATTCTGAAATTCCCTCATCAACTTTCTACTCCTCCTCTTCAAAGTAATTTGTTCTTCACCTTCTTTATAACCTCGAATCCTTTTCAACCCTCCCCACCACAACTTTAAAAAATTTGCTCACTGACTACTCTTCTCTTGGCCTCACCTCATTTCTCAGCCTGAACTCCAAGGCGATCCCAAGTAACAATGCCCCTTTCAAGGCACTTCGACTGTTTAGCTTGTCTGTCTCTCCACCACACCTGCCCACTCCATCTCCGACCCTGCAGAAAGCACCTTCTGCCTATTTTCTTCTACTACAGAGACCAAGTGCTCACGGTCGGTCATAAAATAGGGCCAGGTGGCTTTATAATCTGTGCTTTCCAGGCTTGCCTGGCCCCTGGTTGCTGATATCCCCGGTACTCCATCCTTCCTGCCCACGTACCTGCAGCCCCTGCTGTCATCCTATCTACAGGTGACCTTGTCTCCTTTTATTAAGTTGGAGGTTATTTAATATGTTGGCATAATTTGTTTAGCTTTTCAACGTCTAAACTACTGCTTTATCATTCATCCATTTAGATATCTCACGGGAGAGGAAGATCAATCTACTGCATCGTGTCTTTGATTCCATCACCCCATCTTTCACTTTCTTCCTCCCTTCCTTTTACACGCCATCTTTCCCCTGTACCTATGAATTACTCTATTTCACTATTTTTTGTGATAAACATTTCTTCATTATTATAATCTCTAGGTCAGGATACATCTCAAAATTCATGGTGTCTGAAAATTAAATGATGATGTTCCTATCCCCACTGGTACATGACACAAAGATGTGTCTTAAAATCAGGCCTGAGATGTGACGGAATATGGTAGCTGCTAAGACTTACGTACACTTTCAGCGACAGCTCCATGGCCACTACACTTCACTGTGCAACTCTTCTTCCAAATTACTGCAAAGCCTGTGACAGTAATTTTTTACCGCAATGTTTTAATATTCCTAATGCAGATCTCTGTCATGTCACTGTCTTATCCAAAAAATGTTCAAGTTTGTTCTAGAGGAGTTCACACATCTTACCCAAACTACATTTGTCCTTTATCTATTGCTCCTCCCACCTATGCATGCTGCAGCCCAGGAAAGTGGGGTGACCTTGGAGTCACCCTGTATACTCCTGAGTGTCTGGCCAACACATCTGCTTTGCCTTCTCCACCAAGAGCCTGTCTTTCAGGATAGAGCTCAGAGATCTTGTTAGCCAGCTGAAGGTGAGATTGTCCTGCTGGGAACGCACAATACTTCCCTGCAGTTACTTTAAACACAGACGAAGAAGGTCAGAGTAGAAATACTAGTAACTGTTAAAATCAGAAGCTCAAGAATATAAATTTCATTCAGAAGTTATAAATCTTAAGCCTAACAATCCTTTCTTCCTGTTAAAGACTGAATATTTTTATAATTAAATGTATGCCTAATGAAAATATTTTCATTAAAATGTGCTACTACACCTAAGATCTGTATACTGCCCCACTTTTCTCTTTTTATCTTTGTTTCAATGCTGGAAAATAGCAATTCAAGACAGATTATATAATCTACACTGACCCCAAGTTTAAGATACTTCATGGTAAATATATAAGTTAAAAAGGTTATAAATAAAAATTTTCAAGGCAAAGCTCTCTTAAAGCTTTTTTCAGGGGCCTGGGGGACACAATTTTGCTAAAAAGTGGAAGAGTTTGTAGGCAAGACAAAGGTAGGGGGTTTGCGGAAATGAAGTACCCAATAGGGCTATGTTGTGAGTGAAGCGCTAAACTTGAGGAGATGTAAGTTCAAAACATGGGCCCTAACCTTAAGAACACATTTCAGTTTAGGAAGATGAAAAAGGAAGGCATCACAGTTCCATAATTGTGACAAATCAGAACGCCCCATGCTGCTAAGTATATATGACATGCTGCATGATTCCAGGGTCACGACGTCCCTAGGACTAAGGGGACCTGGGGAAGCTCTCAGGACCCGGCAAGTCTCAGGGTGGAAAGGGCAACGCTCGTGGTAAACACAAAGACACAAAGGCGCAGCCCTGACATGCGCTTGGAAGGCAGAAGGCAACTAGTCCTGCAGCGTGGCTCGACTCTCGGGACGGGGACCCACACGACACGTCCTGGTTTGCCTGGGAGAGTGCTGTTACCTTGGATTATTAACAGATCCCCTTCTGGCTTCCCAAACATCCCCTTTTAGAAAATAAATTATATGGTCAAGCGAGCACCTCATTATATTATTGATGTATTGATGAATTTAATGTCAACTAAAATCCCCCAAGTCTTTTGCATGTGGTCTGTGAAAAATATGGTAATTGCTCAGGAGAAAGCGAAGCATCAAAAATGACAACTACAGTCTTCACTTCGTGAATCACACCGGGAGCTACACAAGCCCGAGGGACCAGTTGGGGTCACACCAGACGTTTAGCGAGTAACTGATCAATGAAGGTTGAACAAATGAAAATATGAAGGGTAATGAGTAAAAGAAGGAGATAAATGTTAAAAACACAGAAAGCAGAGGGGTCAGTGAATCCTTTTTGCAAAGTTAAGAAGCTCTTCAGGAGCATGACGGCGGGACTTGCCCCTGCCACTGCCTTCTCCGGGCACACGCAGGGTTCAGACCAAGACAGAGCTGAA